GGTCTAGCGCCGTGCGGGGGAGGGGCAGCGGGTGGTCACCGGGCGCGGGAGGGGCTCCGGGCCCACCCCCATCCCTCCCCTCCTCCCTCACCGGCCGCTCCCGCCTCCCGCTCGCGCCGCTCCATTGGCGCTGACGCAGCGTCCGGGACGCGCCGCCGCCGCGCCGGCGATCCCTAGCGGCTCGGAGGACCGGCGGCGCGCCGGGCGGTCACGTGGCTGAAGGGCGGCGCGCTAAGCAGGGGGCGTGGCTCTCCGCGAGAGGGGGCGTGGCGCGCCCGGCACCGCCTTAAAGCGCGGCATCACTTCCGGTTCCCACTTCCGGGTGCTGCCGCCGCCGCCGCCGCCACCGCCGGTAACGGCTCCGGGCCGGCCCCGCCATGTTCCTCCTCCTCCTCCCGCCGCCGCCGCCCCCATGAGCCGCAAGAAAAGCGGCTTCGCCATCACCAGCGTCCGCGGCGGCAGCGCGGCCGCGCCCGGCGATGCCTCCGGCGCCGCCGCCGGTTCCGCGCCTCCGCCCTCCGGCAGCCCCGGCGGCTCCCGCTTCCGCCTGGTGCGCCTGCTGTCGCCGGGGGAGGTGCTGCGGCGGGGCCGCTGGCTGTGCCGCGATTTCTACGAGCGGGACGCGGCGCCGCGGGGCGGGGGGAGGCTCCCGGTGTCGCTGGACGCGCCCCGGGCCGGCCCCGCCCCCCACCAGCCCCGCTCCCTCGGGGCCTTCGCGCAGCTCGTGCAGCAGGTGAGGGGGGCGGGGTCTGCCGGGGGGCGGGGCTGAGGCGGCGGAGCGTGGGGGGCTGAGGGTCCTGGCAGGGGGGCGTGGGGGGCTCAGGGTCCTGGCAGGGCCCGTGGGGGCCGCGCGGGCGCTGCGGGAGGCACGGGGGTCCCTGAGCGCCGCCCCCCAGGACCTGGTGAAGTCGCACCTGCTGCTGGCCGTGCGGGAGGAGGTGGAGGCGCTGCGGGAGCAGATCCGCGAGCTGAGCGAGCGGCGCGCGGCGCTGGAGAGGGAGAACCGCCTGCTCCGGGCGCTGGCCACGCCGCGGCAGCTGGCCCGCCTGCCCGCCCTGCCGCCCCCGGGGCCGCCCTGAGCCCCCGGGGGGTCCCGGGGGGTCCCGGGGAGGGGCCCGGGGGGGTCCCGGGGGTCTCAGGGCACGGCGCTGCTGTTGGCTGCGAGGAAGGCACGGGGCTCTGCCACCCTTCCTGCGCGGTTTGGGGCCTTTTTTAATAAACGCGCGATTTTTACAGCACGGGGGGAGGAGCCGTGTTCATTCTGGGGCGAATTCCAGGGATTTGGGGTGGATCAGGGGCGGGAGCGGCCGCGGCCGAGGCGGGACTCGAACCCGCGGCCTCCGGAGCGCGGGAGGAGCCGGCCGCCATCTTGGGAAGGGCGGGACCATCGGGGACGCCGCCATCTTGGGGAGGGCGGGACCGCCGGGTGCGCCGCCATCTTGGGGAGGTCAGCGAGGCGCCGCCATCTTTGTACGGTCGCCGTTAGGGGAGGGGGCGTGGCCACCGGCGGAAAGAGGGCGTGGCTTCCGCCGCCATGAGGCCGCGCGCGCTCCCGCCGCCGCCC